CACACACACAAACACACACACACACACACACACACACACACACACACACACACACACATATATATATATATATATATATATATATATATATATATATATATATATATATATTATATATTATCTGTCTAGCTATCTATAAACACGTTCCTAGATATGAATATTTATAAAGTGAGAGAGACGTGACCATGAAAAATGAGTTCAGCTTCTCCGCATGACCGGCTTCACAAACATCTCAGGAAAGAGTCTTCGAAAAAGTTGATGGTTAATGAAAATCCTAGGAAACATATCTGATCTTGTAGCATTTTATTCGGAATATCCCTGCTGATACTTTACCGTGCGCAGTTAGCATTTAATAGCATAAGTACTATTTATTCATACGTATAAAGTCTTGTATGTTTACCACCATTAAAAAAAAAAAAAATAGACACTAGTATCGTATTGTGTGTTTAACTCTTTATTAATCATCTTTTTGTATTTCGAAACATGATATTGAAAATCAGGAAAATCTCGCTACAACATATACATTTAGAAAACACATGATTACCACAAAGCAGGTTAATAAAATAGAAGACATAACGATATTTACCTTTTTTTACCTGAGTTACCACACGCGACTGAACTTGATGTTATTAAGATATTGCCAAATAACAAAGCAGATACTATAGCGAATACTAGTGATAAAAACACTGGTGAAGTAGCGATAACAACTGCAATAAGGGCGATAATACTATAAAAATGCTAATAACAGTTTGAATAAAAGCAATGAACAATGATAACAACATGAATGATAAAGGTAAGGATTTTGATAAAGATAACGACAGTAATACTCAAAATAATAATGATAATATTAGCAGTGATAATGCTAATAATATTAAACCTCTATTGCCACGGCTTCTAAACTATTATTAGCACTATTACTACCACTATTGCTATTACTACTATTAACAATAATGATAATGAGGATAATCATTACTATTATATTGATAAGAACGTTAATGGTAATGATAATATTCTAACACTGATAATAATAGCAATGATGATAATGATAACAATAATAATGAGATCTATTACAATGAGGATAATAAAGATAATGAAAATATTATCAATGATAATAATTAAGATGATAAAAACAAGAGTAACAACAACAGCATCAATAGCAATAATGATGATAGAAATAATAATAATAAAGATGATAATAACAATAATCATAATTATTATAATAATAAAAGCAATAATAATGAAAATAACAGTAATAATGATAATGATAATAATTATTATAATAATAATATCAATGATAATTATAAAAATAATAATGTAGGCCTCTTCGGTTACGCAAATCCAAATTTTACCGTTAAAGAAAAAGCTCAACAGTTCGGCGAGCTGTTAAGATTTTGCAGCCAGTTCTGTGTCCAAGTGTGACGTCATTGTTATGGCTCCACCCATCGTCTGCAATGCGCCTGTGCAGAGCATATTCAACTCAGAAAAATGTTAATTAGGGATTTATTTATATTGAATTCCTATTATGCCGTCTGTCGTAAGTTAAGATCATAAGTAGAAAGAATTCATGTACTATTATACAATTATTATTAATAAAGATATTGCAGAGAAAGAACACAAACAGGCTGGATAACTCTGAAAACAATTTCACCATTGGTACTTTTCACTCGGTAAATACTGTTCACTGTAAATACTGTGCACATACATACACACATACCTTCCGGTGGTTTTACATTAAGCGTAAATAATGGCTCTGAATGCGCATTATAGATTTTCATATGAAAAATGATCAGCATTTATTCACAAAAGGTCTTTATAGATGTATATATTCTCGCTCTCTCCAAAATCTGGAAAGTTAATAATCACAGGACGAAACAACAATATGGAAGTCCAGGAGACACGGTGATTAGTGTATCACAATCAGTACAGATATGAGAAACATATGCATGTTAGTTAGAATGAATGGCACTGATGCAATTAATAATGAAAAAAAAAATAAAGATGAGGCTTATTCTTTACACTGATTCCTGTTTAACACTGAAAATGATCATGTAAAATATCGAGATAACGGAAAATAGATTTTTGGGAGGGTACAACGTTGTGCTAATGCACTATCAATGCAGAATAGTTGATAATGTAATAATTATTACTTGCACTTAGATTGTAGTACCACATGTATCATTTCATTACACTGTAGTTTGTCCATTTTGATTTTCCGTTTTCGTTTATGAACTGGAAT